CACACACACACACACACACACACACACACACACACACACACACACACACACACACAAAGCGGTTTTGGGACTTTCTCATTTTATAAGTCAAACAAAGTCTGACTAGGAAGTCAAAGAGAAACAGAAAACTTTGCAGAAAACTAACAGGCTACAGAGTCAGAGCACAATGCATTTTATTACCTTGTAAACCACACAAAACCACAATATAGACAACCATATTCAAGTGATACAGGAAAGGAAGAGGCAGGCAAAGCTCAGCATATACACATCAAGAGGTCTGGCTGTGGTTCATGAATCCTTCTCATAGATCAAAAGGTTGGCCGAAGCTCCTTACTGCACAAAGAAGTGGAGCCGACTGGATCCCCCATGGCCGCATCTTCACATCAAGCCCTTCCCAGCGCACAGCGTCAGCGACCAACGGGACACACACCATCTTCCTGCACGCCTTTCTTTCACGCTCTCCTTCTATCTCCTCTTACCCATCCACCCTCGCCCTCCCTGCCTGCCTGCCTGCCTCCCTCCCTGCCAGCCTGTCTTCCTGTCCCTCGCAAACCGTTTAGAGCTTATCTAACAAAGCAACACACACTTCACAAACTGCCTATCTCTCCCCTCCATGCACGAGCTCTCTCCCTAAATGAGAAAACAGAAATTCTTAGGCTAGCAGCTGCTGTGATGTCACATGACCTCATCCTTGCTTTCCCTCCCACCTCCCACACTCCCTCACTCCTCCTCTTCCTCCTCTCTCAACCTATAATTCCTCAGCCATTTGTAGATAACAGACACAGGCATGCATGCCCTGCCTAAGCAAACTGACTGAGGGGGGGAGGGGAGATGAGCGGCGGACGATGGGAGGGTGCTCAGACAGTCATCACATCTGACCCCTTTTGCTGGGGAGTGTGACACAGCAGGAGTGTGTGTGTGTGTGCACACACATGGATGGGTGGGAGCAGGTAGGCATCGCATGCCATGTGGGGCACCCTTCCCAAAGGAAGAAAAAAGGAAGAAAATGAAAACATGACTTGGCCTGTGCCCAGCCTGACAATCTATGAAAGAAAATCCTTGGTAATAGCATAGTTTTTAGTATTAAGATATCAATCATAGCTTCACAAGTGATAAGTTTCATTTTAAGTAAAAATAGGGCAGCATTACCCTAAACGGGGACGGAAATCCTCGCTSTCTAAATTAAAATTTACAAAGAACCACAAACGAGGAAGTCAGTCAAAACCTGTGGACTTGCCAAAGTGACAGTTCATGAATACGCATGTAAGAGCCACACTTGAGTCTCTTCTGCGGGAGGTGATAAC